TTTAAGAGGAGGTTGGATGACCACCTTACTGGGGTCATTTGACCCCAGTGCTCTTCCTGCCATGGCAGGGGGTCGGACTAGATGATCTGCTCAGGTCCCTTCCGACCCTAGAAACTATGAAACTACTGGGAAATGTACAGTATTTGACAAAATAACTTTTTGCAGCTAACAGATTTACTTTAATAAGTGCATATTTAAATGAGCATACAGATGATCATGAAGACTAATAAGCATCGAGGACTTAACTATATTTTTTAAAAAGGCATTACAGTTCAACAGATATGACATTTTAAAAGCAGTTTCATTTGAAATGAACTTACCAACCATTTATACCAATATAGAGATCCAAATCAATTATAGCAGCTGCTTCTTCCTTTGTGCCATCAAATGAATGTACCTAGAAAAATGTTTATATATTTTATCATGTGAGAAAAACCTATAATCCAAAAGTAAGATATGGTTTCTTGGTGTAATATAAGAACCATGACAATGATGCATAATTATACGTAAGCGGATTACACAGTCAATGTGGCTTAGTTGATAGTACGTCTGCTTTTGGGAAAGAAAGTCACAGGATGAATTTATCAGAATTGGAGGTGAAACACTAGGTTGAAGACAGAACATGACAGATTAACAGTGTTAGAGTTTGTAAACGTGCCTGCCTGGCTTGCCTTTCTCTTTTAGCTGAGGATTTTGGTTATAAACTAAAAATAACATGAAAGAGTTTTTTAAAAAATAATTTAAAAAATATTTTTCTCTACTAGCTAGTAATTCAGGACCTGAATTCCTGCGGGGACTGACTCATGGAAAATTACATCCAGACACAATTTGGAGAAATGAACAAATGCAACAAATGAAAAGTTAAAAATGAAGATGTACAAAATTTTACCACAAAGCTTGCAGCCTGTCAAGTAACTGCTGATGAGCGTTTCCTTCCAAAAATCTCTCTTAGGCATTAGTGATGGGAAGGGCAATGATGAGCAGGGATTAGGTTTTCCATTTCCCACAGAAAAAGAGTAAAATGCAGATTTCTCATTTTAGTAGAGAAACCCACAGCTTTTGCAGTTTTGTAACAAGCCCTTTGCAGGCTGGCAGAGTGTACATGCACATGGCTGCCAGGCAGCCTGGAGAGCAGCTCCTGCAGGTAAGTTGGGGGTGGGGGGATGATTGAGGTCCTCATAGGGAGGGAGGGAGTTGGGCAAGGCTGGGGCTGCTACCCAGCTGGGCACTGCATGGGGCTTGGGGCCCAGGCCTCA